CTAATGAACCTTATTGTAAAGTGTTACCAAAATTGGATTCTCCGTCTTTCCACTGTACCGTTAATCAAATGAAATGAAATAGCAGAATTATTCAAAATAACTCTACACTGGAAAGCACAGCACTGTTAGTAGTGTGTGTGGTTGTGTTACCTGCAGGACTATAAGTCTCTGAAACACATCCGCCCTCATGCTCATTTCAACATCGAAATCAGACAGGCGTTTCTCAGCCTCGGTGCTCGCCAATCGGACCTCTTTACAAGGAGACACATACTGGGGGAAGTCCAACATATGACGTGAAGCTGAAACACAGTACGGAAAAGTGAATATGACAGCAGATTAAATAACTTTTACATTAATACAATATGGATGTTATCATTTGCCACTCACCGGCATAATCTGCTTTTGCATCTGCAATGACTTGGAGAGTATTCTCGAAGCACACCTTCCCGATGTCAACGGAGCCCACGGAGTCGAAGGCTCGCTGTATCCGCTGGATCAGCATCTGAGTCCGATGTCGGATCTCTTCTGGGGTCAGATCCCATCGCAGGTTGTTGTTCTTGACAACTGTGCTGGAGCAGCTGTGGCCGAATATGACTGATCCATTCTGTAGTGTCATCTTGAGCTTTGAGCTGGATACACTGACTCTGCATTATATTAAAGAAAGAGCCAGTATTAATACACTTTCTTTCTTTCCTTCTGTACTAAAGAAAGAGCCAGTGACCGAATATTGCAAGGGCTCTACTATGCAGCTTCTTGGAACTTTAGAAAAAGAAAAGAAAGCATCACTATTCATAAAACAGAGAAGAGAATATAGAAGAGAAACTGTGTGCTGTGCAGGGTCGCAAGCTGTGAATGTTTTCCGTACTAACGATGGACACTTTCACATGTCTGTCAAAATAAGGAATGCGAACTTGATCTGCTTGTGACACACTTATACTACTTCACATATGCCAGTTCAGTGCCCCGTTTCCGAGAGAAGCTAATGAGATAACCTGACTATAACCAGATATCCACCAAAATAAGGCTTTGTAAGGTAATTTCGTGTATTTATAGCTTGTCTATTTGGCCCCAGTCACATTCAAGCATTCGGTTATTGTTAGTAGCAATGTCAACCCAGTCAAACAACAACACAGCATAACGTGTGTTAAACAACAGAATTCACATTACCTTTTTACCGCTCGGGCCACTGAAATGCCGAAGATAAACATGGCAATTGCATCCGTGCAAGGCGTAACGTGCAAAAACAGAATGCAACTCCTACAGTCACTCTCTCGATCGTAATTGCGTAACCCGGCAAGGCATTCTGATTGGCTACAAGGGAGACGTTGAGCGCAGAGCCATGTATTCTGGTTGAGCGCTAGTACTGAGTAAACTGGCGAACAAAGATCATAGGGGATACACACAAAAAATAGGATAAAAAAATTAGAGGTAGAGCAAGGCAATAAAGTACATTTTCAAGCAAGATATAGTTAGAGATGGTCAAGTAAAATAAATCCTAAAACATTTAAAGCAATGAAATTAAACATACGACACATGAATGGGAATAAATAACATGAAACTTAAAAAAAGTCATCTTCAGGAAATTAGGAGGTAACATAATTTTACCCTTTATTTTAGGAGGTAAAAAAAAAAATTTTTTAAACAACAGAGCAGTTTTAGCAGCTTTCTTGTTCTTGTTTCTTGTATAAAAACTTTAAATCGACACAGAAAAAAATCTTAGAAAAAGTTTAGAATTAGTAACTTAACATTTATGGAGATGAAACTGCCCACATAGAATTAGCAGTGAAGATGTACATACATTAACAACAATTTCGAAAGAAGTGATCCCTTTATTATATAAAAATAATTTAACAAATTTTTATTAAACATTAAAAATATGTTAACAGCATTTATGTGAAATTCCTTTTCCAAATGGTTTGAATTTTTTTAATCCCTGTATCCAAAATAGACACTGTTTTGTAAGTGAAAAAAAGTAGGCTAATTAATTACTAGCTAGTAGACACTAATTATTGGGTGATTCTCCAACTACAGGCACTTTTGTGTCCTTGGCCTTTTTTTTGTAAATACATAAACAAACAAATGCAAAAATACATTGTATTTATGAAGTTCATGCTCCATCATCCTAGTAACCACCAAATCTGGCCCCTGTTTTCTTTTTAAAATGCCTTTGCAAGGCTGTTTATTAGCAGATTTTGCAGTTTTATGCTTGTCCCCAGCCCAGACTGGCCCTCTTTGAATGTTAAAAATACAAATTAAAGAATCGATTAAAAAAAATTTTTTTACATGTTTGTCTTAAGGACTAATAAAATAATATCTTACGAATCGAAATTCCACATGTATATCACAATTTTAAACTAATTTTGGAATAAAATAAGTCTGTCCCCAGGTTTTCCGTCATTTCCACCTCCCTCAACAAAATCCACCTTAATACATCCACCTTAAATATTTTATTTACTTGGTAACCATGGCAATATTAGTGAAATGACGTATTAGTTGAAGACGAAACTTCAGGCACATGTGCTCTTCAGTACAAAAAAAAAATCAAGGTAACTCAAGCTTTTATACAGAGTATTTTTATTCAGCGTCATTTCCACCGTGGCTGTAGTTTGGCTGAATTATGTACAACAAATATGAAAATAATGTATTATGTTTATTATGAGTAAACAACATGCTAAGTCTAAAAGCAGCTAAGCATGACATGAGGGTGTGCTAATATTGCAGAAAAACTGCTAAAATGTCATTTCCACCTCCGTCATTTCCACCTCTGAGAAATTACAGGCATAGCTTTGGACATGATATAAATGCAGTTTTTGTGTGCTATTTGTGTGTTCTCATGACATATTTGTGATTTTTGGACTGAAAACTATATATTAACATTCCAGTACACTCTATATGTATTTTTATTCATCTATATTTCTATTTAAGATGCCGAAGTCGGTGGCCAAGAAGTCACAGTTTTTTTACTGCTGTTGTTTATGTAAAACATGTTAGTTATGTCTAGCCTGTTTTAACGTAGCCTATGTGGTTATGGCTAAGATGTTACACTTGTGTTTTTTTATGATGGTAGCATTTTAATGTGTAATGCACACAACATGATTTATAAGCTGGGGCATTCCATGCACTTTTATGATTCATGCACACAGACACTATGACACTACATTCAGTATCTCTATCTCACACAGACTCTCTCTCTCTCTCTCTCTCTTACACACACACACACACACACACACACACACACACACACACACACACACACACACACACAGTGTACAGCTTTATTTGAATGAAATTAATGTTTTGAGCAGGTTCATATATTTTTCATATCATTTGTAATCATTATTTTCAAAACTATTATGTATACTGTTCAATTTATACATGTTAAATAATAAAATACAAGGTTAAAAATATTTTGGACTGGCAATTTAAGTAAAAATTAACAGAAACTATCTTAACCGTCATTTCCACCACTTTCCACCACTACACAGTTTTTAAGTAAAAACATAAGAATAACAAATTATGTGGATCTAAATGTATTTTAGATCAAGTATTAATAGTTCATTACTCACAATAAATGTGTTAGTGACTTTAAAAAATAATCATAGACCTGAGCAAAAATGAAATGCTGTAGGCAAAAAATCCCAACTCGTGGCAACTCGTGGCATTTAACAACTTTAAATGGAAATGTATTAAGTTCATGAAGTATTAAGATTTCTTTTGTTACATGATTAGGTAGCCACTGATGTTGTTGACTGATACATAATCTTATATAATCAGTTTTACAATATTATATTGTAATAAAATACATAAATTGAAAAGTGGTGGAAATGACATCTTTGAAATCGCTCTTCAGAAAAACTGTTAAAAATAATAATATTCCATGGAATTCTAAAACTGCCCACTATTATATTGTGTTAGAAGACAAATTAATGAAGCTAGGAAGATTGTTTTAAGTGTGTTTTAAGAGAGTGAATTTTCCAAAAACTCACAGTGCCAAAAGTGCTCCTAGTTGGAGAATCACCCTATTACATTATTACATCACATTGCTAGGGCGGGACATATCAAGCAGCCCCTCCCCTTAAAAACAGCCAATAGCATTTAGTTTAAATCACAGCTCAGCCAGAGCCGTTGAGCTTAAAGCCACAGTTTCCTCCTAATCTCCTCCATGTTGCTTTAAAAATAACATTCAGTGCAGAATTCAAATGGTTCCGATACGTTTTCTGGTCTGCGGCGACTCGATCATATGATTCGCTCTGTGTATCGTGTCTCTGGGCCGGAGCTGTGGCAGTGATCTGTTCCCATGTGACAATAACGTAAAACCAGACTTCATTCGCCCCAATGGAAAGCATATTTACACTGTCTGAATCGTTTCCTATCCCCTATATAGTGTCCCCCCCTTCCACCATAGAAAACAGTAATTGTGTGAACAAGTGACCAATTTCAGTCCTGATTCAGCATCTATTTATAATGTAGGGGGCGGAGCTTCAGATTCTAGAGAGCATTTGATTGGACAGAAAATCTGATGAGAAGCTGAAGTGCAGAGAGTGATGTCATCAAATCACTGATCTATTTTGGTTTTGAATGCAAATATCTTCTACATATGGATGTTGTCATTGTTTTGGAACACACTAGTTTATAGATAACAGTAAGACGAACATATTCAATACTAAAAAACAAAAAAACTTAATCCCCCCTTGGCCAAAAGGGGGCCCCCAATCGAGTCGAAAAAATTAAACAAGTGACATAAATTAATGAATTAATTTTGTGTTTCCTGTAAGATACAGGAAAATATCATGTAAATTGACCATTTGTATTCTGCAAATAAGTGCATGCAGACTTATATAAAGATATATTATATGTATCCTCCACTTCTGTTTGATATTTTTTGAAAATTAATAAATAAAAAAAGGTAGAATTAAAAAAAATATATCAATCATTTTACGCGTTTTGAGTAGTAGGGTTCATGAACTCTTCATTGTAGTCCTTGAACAATGGTATTTCCGGCTTGACCGCGCATGCGCTGTGCTGCGCATCATCATCATCATCAGTCTCACGCGAGTGTTCATGACGCTGTGGCTAGAACGAGCGCTGCTGCGGGCACTTTCTCCAGGTAGGTGGGCGGGGGCGCGCACAACATCCACAAGACTATAATGTTATTGATAATGTGCGCTGCTATGAGATGAAATGAGTCTAGAAGAGTATCAGAGACTTGCGTTTGCGAAGGTTTCTCTTTCTGTCCGTTAATTAAACTGCGAATGTCCTCAGCCATTGCCAAACCTCCTGCAATCTCATGTAAACCAGTGTAAACATATACCATCTGTGATTCACAGGCTTCTGCTCATCTATCTTACAATAGCTTTATTCTTAAATATACAGCAGGCTAAATGATATTTCATGTTGTGGGGTGAATTTTGATGCCTTTGTCATTATTACATCATAACTGCATCATGTGTTTGGCTTTTGTTATCTAGGGACATGCATAACAGACTCAATAGCCTATTACAGTTGCACGAAACTATTCTATGTAGGCTAGTATACAATATGGGGCCAGAACAGTTTATATTTCAGATCACAGCCATGTGGCTTTGATGAGCAGAAGCTGATGATGTTCATTCTGAGCGAAGACTTATGTAATTAATTAACCCCTGCAGCAACATGCCACGTAATTGGTTGGGCGTCGTTTGAAATGAGATTCCGAATATCGATTTCCCAGATTTGATTCCAGTAAAGTAAAAACATTTAGTCAAGCATTTATATTTAACATATTTGTTTAGCAAAATGTTTTGTTGCAACTGATTTCCATCAACAAAAATCTGCAACCTATGGTTTTAACAAAAATAGCACAGCAAAAACAAATGCAATAAATAAAATACAATAGGTACAGAAATTTGAATCAAATGTAAAATAGCTGCATAGTTTTTGTTTTATAAATAAAATATAGATTAATCCTTTTTATAGTTACAAAAGTTATTCAGTCAAGATCAGTGAGTGATTTCCTTTTTCTTTTGTTCTTCGAATAACGTTAATAACAAAGACGGTAGCAGAAATATTAGGCTGCTGTGACTTTAAAACCTAATGCAGGAAACTAATACAGTGTGTAAACTATACTATGTGTCTAAATAGGGTTAGAAGAATCAGCTGATATCACTTGCAAAATGTACACATGATTCAATATTTTGTCAGTACAGTCTCTTGTTAAATCATTATCCCTCTTTCAGCTGACCCATTCATGCCGCCCTTCCTCTAACGTCTGAATCTACTGAAAAGGACCTTTTTCAACAAATCTTTCCTCAGGTTTTTCACAGACAAAATGGCAGTGGAAAAGCGCTTGGCATATTCTATCGTGCAGTTCCTCAGAGATCAGACACACTGTGGCTCGCTGAATTCAGATGAACAGGAAAGCCTGGAAGGTAGGTCACCCTCATGTTTAAAACATTTAAAGTCAAAGGCCTTTTCTACTCTTGGACTGGCTGTTCAGATTCAGGACTCTCTGAAAGTCACCACAGCAAACTATTTTACTTTTCTGTTTAATTACATTATTATTACTATTAGTGATACATCGGCGGCCTGATGTATCAGATTGATTGGCAAAAATGTGGCCATTTTGTTATTTGTAAAATAAGAAGTGTGTTTAATTGTATTGAATGGGTAACACTTTACAATAAGTTTCATTAGTTAACTACCTTAGTTAAAATGAACTAAGAATGAACAATACTTCTACAACATTCATTAATCTTAGTTAATATTAATTTCAACATTATTCAAATCAAAGGTTGTAGTTGTTCACATTAGTTAATGCACTGTGAAGTAACATGAACAGTCAATGAACAGCTGTAACATTAACAAAAAATAATAAAATAAACAAAAACTTTAAAAAGTAACAAACAAAAAACTAATACAGTAACAAATGTATTGCTCATTGTTAGTTTGTGTTATTAACTGTTAATGTGTAGATTAACTAAGGTTAACTAACGAACCTTATTGTAAAAAGTTACCATTGAAGGTACACTTTTAACTATTCTCTTTGCCTTTACTATCTTGTATTCTTTATCCATGCTATCTTTTCTTTGTACTTTTGTCAGTTAAATAAAGGTTATAGAAAATTAACAAACCACAGATTCTTACTGCATTTTACAAATTGTCCCAACTTCTCTAGAAATTGAGTTGTACATATGCTATATCCATATTTAAATATTATTTCAATAAATGATGAAGACATGGTAAAACATTTAAGATATTCATAAAACAATTAAAAAACATTAAAATAAAATAAGAAATCTTCATAAATGGCCACCATTGCTGAAGATGTAATATGTAATTAATATATAGAGTTAATGTTTTTTTTTACACAATTGTACAAAATTGAAAATATGAATGCATCATTATTTTTGTTATCTATTTAAGTTGCCGTACAGTGTCTCGAGACCACTTTCAAGATCAGCTCCAGTGACTGCCATCTCGCCGCTCCTCAGCCACTGAGAGAGATATTCCTCAACTCTCTCCTCAAAGTAACTACATTTCATACATATCAGCCTGTCATGATTTATTACTGTTGTTATGCAACAAGCAAGATTTCAGACACATTTTCCTACAGTTCTTGTCTAATTGTTTTTTACAGAATGATATTGTAACGTTACCTGAGACGTTTCCATCTCCTGAGGACATTGAGAGAGCCGAGCAGCTTAAAAATGAGGGCATGTCAACCTTTTCTACTGTATTTAGACTCAAAACACTGTCAGAATTATATCAGATGATGCATAATCTATAACATAATTGTTCTGTCATCACATTGTTCCATTGTGATGATGCAAATAAAAACATGATCAATAATGAATGCATCAATCATTTCCAAATCCAATGCTCAAATGCTTTTGTGTTTCTTTATTAGGGAATAACCACATGAAGGAGGAGAATTATAGCAGTGCTGTGGACTGTTATACAAAAGCCATTGAGTTGGACCAAAGAAATGCAGTCTATTACTGTAACAGGTGAACGTTTGATATCACACTGAGAATGCATCGCTCATAAAGGCGGATGTGTCGAAGTTTGGTGTTGACTGATGGGATTGTTCTCTCTCAGGGCTGCGGCACATAGTAAACTTGGAAACTACACAGAGGCTACGGGAGACTGTGAACGAGCGATTGCCATCGACCCTTCGTACAGTAAAGCTTATGGCAGAATGGGGTGAGATTGTTTAATTATTGTGGTGTAACCGTCAATGTTGTTATTGTAGCTGAAACTAAAATTAAACTATACAAAATAGTTTTCTTTCATTGAAATAAGGCTGAAATAAAATAAATTTAAAGCAAGTATTATATATAATTTATAAATTATTAACATAAGTTAACTACATTAGTTAACATGAACTAACAAAGAAAAATAATACTTAATAATCATGTATTAATCTTAATCATTTCAATTTCAAAATTTACTAATATACATTATTAAAATCAAAATCTGTTAATATAATGGCATGGACCTGAGCTGATAAGAACTAGAATTAGCATTTTCAAAGTTTCATGAGTATTATATGAATCAGTCTCATGAGTATTAAATTAATCAGTTTCATGAGAATCAAATGAATCAGTCTCATGAGCATTAAATGAATCAGTTTCATGAGAATTAAACAAATCAGTCTCATGAGTATTACATGAATCAGTTTTATGAGTATTAAATTAATCAGTCTCATGAGCATTAAATGAATCGGTCTCATAAGCATTAAATGAATCGGTTTCATGAGCATTAAATTAATCGGTCTCATCGTGAGCATTAAATTAATTGGTCTCATAAGCATTAAATTAATCGTTCTCATAAGCATTAAATGAATCGGTTTCATGAGCATTAAATGAATCAGTCTCATAAGCATTAAATGAATCAGTCTCATCATGAGCATTAAATTAATTGGTCTCATAAGCATTAAATTAATTTGTGTCATGAGCATTAAATGAATCGGTTTCATGAGTATTAAATTAATCAGTTTCATGAAAATCAAATAAATAGGTCTCATGAGCATTAATGAATCCGTTTCATGCGAATTAAACAAATCAGTCTCATGACAATTACATGAATCAGTTTTATGAGCATTAAATGAATCAGTTTCATGAGCATTAAATGAATCGGTTTCATGAGCATTAAATGATAGATAATGATTAAATTATTGTAAATATAGATATATTGGAGAAGGTGATTCCTTAAGAGTACTGAAAATCTTAAATGAAATCAGATGAATCAGATACCAGAATAAATGCATTCCTTTTGATTCACGGCCCTGCTGAGTTAAACAGATTTTAAAAGTGAATCTAAAATATTTTAAAAGTAACCAACCAGTGTGTTACAGTTATTAATGTACACAATTACAGTACTTGCATCTTTTATCTACTTTGATCTTTTTGTGATTCTAGATTGGCACTAACTTCTATGAGCAAGTATCCAGAAGCGATATCTTATTTTAATAAAGCTCTGGTGTTAGATCCTGAAAACGACACCTACAAATCCAACCTAAAGATCGCAGAGCAGAAACAAAAAGAAGCATCCAGTCCTGTGAGTAGAAGACGCTGCTGTCATGTGTAGTTTGATCCACCTTATGAAGAACTTCAGTCTATCTTAGTTTTTAATGAATGTATATTGAGTATTCCAGTTTAGTAATTAAATATGAGAACTAGCCTATAATAACTCCTAACATTAGATTTTACATGTGTTCTCACAGACGGCCACAGGACTGGGGTTTGACATGGCCAGCCTCATCAATAATCCTGCTTTCATTAGCATGGTATGTGCAAGTGTGTGGTTACGCATTTCTCTTTTAATAGTATTTATGAAATGGGTCATAAATCGACCCTGCGACCCCTTTCATCTGTCAGGAATGCAGCCCATGCCAGAGTTAAAGGGCCAGTTGGGTGAATCAGACTGAGGGTGAGCTTGGGGTTTCTAGCACACTGCAGCAGTCTAGAAAGAAATTGGGACAATTTCATAAAAAGAGCAGACTTTTGAGACCTAAATGCACAAAATCTAATGCAGGGTGTGACTGCATTTGTGTAGAGGAAGGAAGACTTCAAGAAAGATGGATTTGACATCCTCTAGGCATTGATTATGCTACTTAAAGACCCTATGGCTATGTTTGGAGTTGCACATTACCAGGGCCGTGCAGAGACCTCTGTAGGGGCAGGTGCTCAAAGTATAAAATGGGGCACGGAAACAAGGCTTTACAGGGCTGTGCTCAAAATATCAATACAGTAATATATCAATACAGATGATTCTGCATCGATACAGCAGCAAATGCATTGATGCAGTTTTGAAAAAGAACCAGAACAGAAAAGACAAATTTAAAGTTTAAAATTAAAAAAAAATAATTGATGTGCTCTATATATAACTCTGGGATTAGAAACTGAAGCATACTGAAGCATGTTCCCGTTTACAGCAAAGGCTGTATTTTTTACGCAGACTGAGGGTGTTTGGTGTCAGTCAGAAGATTATGTTTTTATTTTATCAGGCAGTGATGGAGAGTGTCATCAGGTATGGGATGACGGCATGGTTTGGCAATCTCTCCACACAGTCTAAATCAAAGTTGCAGCGCCTGGTACAGACTGCTATGAAGGTGATGGGGAGGACTGAAAAGCTCTCCCTTCAGTCCATCTATGAGCAGTCTGTACTCAGGCAGGCGCGGAGAGTTCTGTCTGACCCGTCCCACATCCTTCATGCGGAGTACGAGCTCTTGCCTTCTGGCAGAAGGTTCAGAATTCCAAAAACCAAATTGAACCGTTACAAATATTCTTTTATACCCAACTCCGTCAAAATTTTAAATCAAAATTTTTCGATTGTACGAGGAGGAATGAGAAGTGTGCAATAACTTGGTGTTCTGCTTGTTGTTTTAGTATTGTATGTTATTTTATTCTCATTTATTTTTTTTAGATTTTCATTAGATGTGTCATGAGTGTGTGTGTAGTCTACATGTACGTCTTTAGCTGGTATTTGTTTTACTATGTGTATTATTGCTTGTAATGGCAGCTACTACTTTGCACCACGCACTTTGAGTCCATGACAAATTTCCCCTAGGGGACAATAAAGTATACTATACTATACTATATTAAGTTGTTCCAACCTGATGGCTTTTTCTTCTCTGTTTTACAGAATAATAAAGAACAGCTGTTATAGTGAACTGTATAGGACAAAATCAACGTGGCCCATGTTTCGTGCAGTACAGTATAGTTTTATTTAATGGAATATCAGCATCTGTGGCTATTTTCATGGCAAAAACTGATTTACAAAAATACAAGAGTTACATTTTATACAATGAAAATAAAAAACAAAGCAAACAGAAACAGCAATTAATACTTTACAAGATTTTTAACATTAATGTGATGCCTGTTCTGGTAAATTCTTACTTAAGTCCTTAAGTGAGTTTGCTGCCTTTGCTGTTGTTGTTGTTACTGCTGCTGCTGATACTGCTGGAGTTGATCTGAGACTGTAGACATTAAAATAAACAGAAATATAGGGTATTAGCTGAATAAACCATTTTTATGTGACCATGTCAAGATGTAAAGATTGCTGACAGTGTTTGGAACTGGCTCACTAGTTCACTGACCTGCTAAAGCTACAGATTCTACCCAGGCTGCTATAGTATAATAATACAATAATAGTATATAATAGTAACGTTACTAGGGCAGATGTTCACAGAGGCTTCTGCACACAAAACATAAGATACTAACTGGTATGCTTATGTGATAACTTACCAGAGTTGTGATAATCATTTTTATGTGAAAATATTTTTTTTAATAAATACTGTAATAATAATAATAGTTTAAAGTAAAAATAATAGTTTTTAGTCAAATAACACCCCTCCACGCCCGTGAAACTTTTCTCCCTCAAACAGCAAGCTACTTCTACAGCCTACACACAGCAATACAAACAACATCTCTCTGCATGCTCTCTTCACGTCGTTCTAGTAAAATAATAATAATAAGTAAACAAACATCAAAATCACTTCGCTGAGAATAGAACACCACTTACCAGCAGCCGCAAGAGTTGAAGATATCCTCTGGGAATGCGCGATTGCGCGTAGCCGCGCGAAATTATAAAATGCGCGTGCAGCGTGAGGAATCAGGTGAAAGGTCATCATGTGGGTCATTTTATTTACGGCTAAATTATTATTCATTCATTTTACTACTAGTTAGATGGGGCAGGCATCCACAAAAGTGCCTTTAAATACAAAAAAGGAGAGGAAATTTTGTCTTGACAAAAGGGCACTTTGGGCACCAAGGGGCAAAAGGGCAGGTGCTCGAGCACCCAACGCCCCCCCCTCTGCACGTGCCTGCACATTACCATACAGTGCTACTCTGTAGAATGTAGTGCAGAGCATTTTATCAGACAAATGCTTCATAAATAATGTTAATACATTTTCAAGGAAGTGCAAGGCTAAAATTGTTTATCGTTTAAACGTTTGTAGTCGGTCAGAGTCTTTTAGGCCACCAAGGCTGTATTTATTGGATATAAAACAGTAATCTTACAATGTCACTGTCATGTATTCTTTAAGTGTGAGGTTTGTATCCACTCAAACACTCTCTCTTTTGCATTATAGGCTGCCAGTGTGATGCAAAACCAGCAGGTGCAACAACTGTGAGTTCAAATAAATCAACTCTGTCTTCCATATTGAACCTTTCAATTCATTTGAAGGGTTAGTTCACCACCCTTATGTCGGCCAAACCTGTATGACTTTTGTTCATCTTTGGAAGACAATGGAATATATTTTTTATATTCGGTCATCATTTTTGTCCATCCATTGAAAGTCTACACAGTCAACATTTTCAAGCTTTAGAACATAAATGAAGAATGAATTGAGCAGTTTCTCAATTCTTGAACAGATTTATTTTAGCCTTTTATTCACATACACACAGGCTCCTTTAGAAATCGTTTTAATGTAGTTGAAAACCAGTGTGCTGCTTATTAGATTTCTTTAAACCATGATACATTTTTTTCCAGGCGTCTTTGACAAATAGAAAGTTCAAAATATTTTCACTTCTTTGTCAATTTTTGAACAATAGTGTTCATCTGCTCAGATTGGGAAATTTGTTCCGAGCAGTACAATCACTTCATATGATGAACAGATATGTTTTAGGCTTTTATTAAAGGGTTAGTTCACCCAAAAATGAAAATTCTGTCAGTATTTACTCACCCTCATGTTGTTCCAACCCCGTAAGACCTTCGTTCATCTTCGGAACACAAATTAAGATATTTAAGATATTAAGATCGCTCCTGCATACAGTCCATAGGCTTCTTGAGGGACTGGCTCTTGCTGTCCTCGAAAAGTCATTAAAGACATCGTTAAAATAGTCCAAGTGACTACAGGGGCTCAATCTTAAGTTTATCAAACGACGAGAACACTTTTGTGCGCAAAAAAACAACAAAAATAACGACTTTATTTCAACTATTCACTTCCTTCTCCATGAGCCTGTAAGTCAGTTAACGTAGTGTGATTGCGTAGAGCTACGTCACACGTAGGCTCACTATTGGCCGACGCTGGTCATGTGTGTGTGATGCGTGTGACGTACGATAACAGAAGCTTACGCTATTAAACTAGTAACCTGACTTGCGCAGAGGGAGAAATAAACGAATAGTTGAAATAAAGTCGTTATTTTTGTTGTTTTTTTGCGCACAAAAGTGTTCTCGTCGTTTGATAAACTTAACATTGAGCCCCTGTAGTCACTTGGACTATTTTAACGATGTCTTTAATGACTTTTCGAGGACAGCAAGAGCCAGTCCCTCAAGAAGCCTATGGACTGTATGCAGGAGCGATCTTAATATCTTAAATATCTTAATTTGTGTTCCGAAGATGAACGAAGGTCTTACGCGGTTGGAACAACATGAGGGTGAGTAAATACTGACAGAATTTTCATTTTTGGGTGAACTAACCCTTTAAGGCTTCTTATCTTAGTTGATCAATGCACGTATATCAAATATGATAAACAAAACTCA